CGTTAAAAAAAAAAAAAAAAAAAAGGTCTGAGAATCGGCCAACATCAATTTTTAATCCCGCGCGGACGGAGTCGCGGGCGACAGCTAGTATTTTATATTTCAATAATTATTAGATTCTTAATGGTACGTTATTTTAGCATCGTCTATTATATCACCATCAGCTCACTATAAGTCCCCACCGAGGGGCTCGGAGCCTACCCTAAGTTAAGGGTCTATCGCCAATTATATACTAGACTAAAAATATGAGAGTTCAAAAAACCGATAAAGTATAAACATATTAATATGATGATAGTAAAACTGACTTTAAATAATACACAAACGAGAAATTACTTATCATTTGAGTCATATAAGTACAAAATCATAAAACAAAAACAAATATGTGCATATTAATAGGTAAAATACTTATTTAGCAATAAAATAATTATTGTGACTACAAAATATACATATTTTCACAACTATATAAAACATGCAGAAGCTTATGTTTGTACGTTATATACTAAAAGAAAACTGATGAATTTTGTACGTGTACATACATACATATTTGTATTTCGAGTATCCTTTATTTAAAAAAAAAAAAATTACATTAATAACATTGCTGGAACAGCCATCTAGATAATCAAAACTCATACAACATCACAAAGGCCGGCAACACATCTGCTGTTCCTTTGGTATTGCAGATGTCCATATGCGTCCATGAACACCTTGGTGTTCCCCCTTCTCTTATAAAAAAACTAATTTATAGCAATTTTAATTACGAATAATGAGAATTTAAAAAAATGTTTACAGTCTTGTACTAACTGTTAAGAAATCTATTGTTTTCCTAAATAAAGTCGCGGTATCAAATAAGTATTCAATGTATAGAATTCCTTAACATATAACATATTGTTATATCCCACTGTAATCAAGTAGTAAGCAACAGTCCCTCGAATAGTGTGTTTGTGTATTGGCATTATGATCTGTATCTATTTATTCGTCGGTTTATTTATTCAAAACTTGGTCACCGCACGGCTTGATGATTTAAGTAAGTTAAAATTTATTATTATTATGTTAATTTCAATATGTTTTAATAAAATGTAATTTAACAGGTGATGTTACAAGAAATGATTTGAACGAAAATGAGCCTCTTCAACTTCAAGTATTCGATTTGTTGGATTATTTGGAAAGGGTAATTATATTTTTATTTAATTTATACTCAACTAGCTGTCGTCCGCGACGCCGTCCACGCGTAATTAAAAAAACTTGTGTGTATTCTTCCAGACTATATTTATGGCAAATAAGTAAGCAATTTCATCAAGATCCGTTGACCCGTTCCGAAGATACCTTCATTCATCCATCCATCTAAACATTCGTATTTATATTAGTAAGAAGGAAGATTGAAGTACATTTCAAAATTGTTTCGGATATTTTTTAGATAAAAGCAGCTAAAGAAAATGACTCAGTACTATTACAAGTGTACTACGAGTGTTTATGTCCAGGGTGCAGACAATTCTATACGGAGAAATTAAAACCTGTCATAGAAAAGCTTGGACAGTATATAAATATCAAGACCTATCCTTATGGAAACGCAAGGGTATGTTTAGTATAAAAATAGACAAATAATACAATCCGATTAACCATTTAATTAATATGACAACTCCTTTCATTAAATCATTACTGCAAGTCACAGACTGTGACAAACCGTTTGTTTCTGATATCTAAATCTCTATATAAAACATATCGTCATCTCTGTCATTATCGTAGAAAAAAATAGAGATAACAATATGTTTTAAGCGGGGATTTTGGTCTTAGAAACCCACGGTATATCTATCAATATCCACTGTAGTAATTTTTTTAATTAAAATATATTGTTTTATTCATAAAGAACAAAAGAGGTAACAATATGTTTTTAAACAAGTGTGTCGACAGTGGAAATCTTAAGTAAAACATATTTATATACAGAATGTATTTTTAATAGTTGCACAAAATTGACCTTATTCATTTTAGAGGAATATAGTAGTCTGACAATGCGTATTTGTTAAATACAATTAATATAAACTGAGATAAAGAAGCATGTTCTGATAAACTTTAGAACTTGGCATTTAAATTACTGTTTAGCTTGTCAAGCTGTTATCTCCTTTTCGTTATTTAATTATTTTATTATGCAAAGGATTTTGTCGCGGTTATGTAACTATCCGACATATTGAGCTTTCTTTGTTTCAAAAGAAATCTATATATATATTTTTTTATTTTAGACAATAATTGATGAAAATGGTAATTACAAAATTGAATGCCAACACGGGCCACCGGAGTGTTACGGCAACAAGCTGCACGCGTGTGCAATAAATTTGTTGCAGAATAAAACTCAGGCATTGTTATTTAACGCCTGCTTGATGACCCAGAGGGGAGACAGCCGTGGTTCAGACGATAAGGCCGCTGACGCGGTAAGTACATCGTCAGGTCAATGAACTGCGATTAAAGTCAATTCTATTGTACTCGACATTAAAGATATGAAATCTATATTTGATTTTTGTTGTTAATTACTTTAAAAATGTATAACAAAATTGATTTAAATATGTATAAATTAACATAAATTGTACGTAATGTGTAACGGTAATTCCTAGTTTATCCATACGTAACAAAGAAGTTACTAGATTAGATAAGCATATTTTTTTTTCCAGTGTGGTACCGAACTAAATTTGGATGCAAGCCCAGTTAAAGAATGTGCGAAAAGCAACAAAGGCGATGAACTATTAAAATATTATGGTGATGAAAGTAAAAAGCAGAATTTCAATTATGTCCCATATATCCTAATACAAGGACAAGTCAACAATGGGCAAGAGCTGATGAAAGACATTTGCAGTGTTTTCACCAATCCTCCTCCACCATGTAATGACTCATGAAGTAAATAAATGAATATAATCAAAAATCTTAATTTTTTTATTATAATCCCTAACGAAAAAACATTAATATAATAGAAATTACTTAAACGGAGTCAAAAAAATCATTGTATCGAATTAAATATTTACCACATAAGTTACACAAGGTTAATACACTTATTTCAAATCACGTATTACATAATATATTAAATAATTTCATAATAGGCAATTATGCATTTTCAAATTTAGCTTTTGTGACGGTGCTCAAAATGATAATCATGTCTGAGTACGTTGTGTGAACGGTCCGTGACACAGCTTATTGGGAATACGCCCTATACTGCTTCAAGAGGTAATGCGGGGAGTCTCCATTGTTGCAACACATGTTCTATGACAATACAATCCATGACTTTTTCGAATACAAGTTATGCAATTTCATATTAATATAAAAAACCATGAGAAAATGTCTGTCCCTATCAAAGAAATGGCGGATATTTAAAAAGGTCTAAGTATACCTAACTAAAATTTCCTCTTCGTGTTGAATAACGTCAAAGAAAATTAGATAAGTAAAATTGGTACAAAAATTCTTGTCATATTTAACAGCACTAGCTTATTTTATTTTACTTATTAACAGGACAATTAATAAAACAACTTATACATTATTGAAAAACAAATTAAAAAGTTGCGGTAGCTATCGGGAATTTTTTTTTATTATAAGAGTAAGTCATTTTAAGTTTAAAAGACAGTAAATTGTTATTTTGTTGTGCCACGGACATGTCGACGAAGCGTGGGCCTCCCGCAAGATGGACCGATGACCTGGTCAAGATTGCGGGAGCGACCTGGATGCAGGTAGCACAGGACCGGTCATCGTGGCGATCTTTGGGGGAAGCCTATACCCAGCAGTGGGCGACTTACGGCTGAGAAAGAAGAAGAAGAAGAAGAAATTGTTATAATTTCATAATAATCAGATTAGTCATTAATGTTATTACTGCGGGGTTTAGACTACGGAAAAACCACTCGGGTTATCCGTAATCGTTATCATAGTTATTGTTAATTCGTTTATATTTAGTTAAACTATAGAAGATAGAGAAATAAAATAATAATTATATGGGATACTGAACAGTGTACAGGCAAATTATTGTCTAGAAAGTGATACGAATTTAAGATGTCGTTGTTCTAAATTTACTAAGACGTATCACAGAAATGCATGCAAATATTTAATGAGTAGGTAATACATTCGTAGCTATTAAGTAATTAGTAAATAGTTAGTTATATATAATATTTTTTTCTAATTGTATATAACCGTAATCCTTGTATTTATCTTTCTATATCTGGTTAAAGATCTTACTAGATTGATTTATCAAACTGATAACAAATCCATTAAATTCTAACATAAATAGATGTAGAAACATTTTATCTGTTTTGTAAAATCTACATTTTCGACGTTTAATGATAGATGAAATAATAAAAATTGTTGAGAATTGGTCGAGGAATTGTAGATTAAATAACAAAAAAAAGAAGACACTTCTATCGTCCACGCGATCAAATTACAAAAAATATATAAAAGATCGAATATTTTTTCGGTGCACTTCTTTTCATAATTTTTTTTTATATTATGCATTAAATATAAGCTAAATTATCATTTACAAATAACAATTTCGAGTGTATTATTTCTGTTTGTTAACATTTGTAATAGCGGACTATTTTTTCAACAAGTATTGTAAAAAAAAGCGGCACGCATTGAGTACTTTTTGTCCTACTGAATTGAAACAGGAATAAACAAGCAATGCTTTTTTTCGTTTTTTTCAGTTCCGTAAACAAGGATTTCCCGAAATTTACAGTATATTCAGTCCGATGTTGACCTACATAGATATTTCACCACCGAATCAAATAGTACGGATACCTATTTTATATCTACAAATAATATTCATAGCAATATATCTGGTTATTTGAACTATTTAAAAAAATGTAAGTTATGTTGCGAATTTGCTGAATTATTATATATAATAAATACAAAGAGCGTCGTTGGCTCAGGGGTTAAAGTTCTTGACTTGTAATCTGCAGGTCCTGGGTTCTAATCCCGTCATGTACCAATGTGATTTTCGATTTACATATGTAAATTTATCCGACGCTCTTCGGTTAAGGAAAACATCGTGATTCAACCTGCACATATCTGCGAAGAAATTTAAAGATATATGTGAAGTCAACCAACCAACACTGGGCCAGCGTGGTTGACTATGGCCTAATCACCCCTAACTTAGGTTAGGCTCCGAGCCCCTTGGTGGGGACGTATAGTGAGCTGATGATGATGAATATATATAAATAAAAAAGTAGTTAATTAAGTAAATTCATTAGACGGTTTCTATGGAATGCGAGAAATAATTAAACAAGTTATTTCTTTGTTAAATATATATACATCACATAATATAGAAAATATGTTAATATTTCCAAATACGAAGTTAAAAGTATTTAAAAATCGTCGATTGTTATCATTAACTGACTAACAAAACGCTGCTTCGAACGTCAATAGATTATTTCAATAATATTAATGAACTTATTAAAAATGTCAAAATATTTAATATTGTTCTTTTGTTTTATTTCTAGGAATTCTGTGTTCAGTATGCCGCAAAGTCAAATACCAAGTAAGTTCCTATTTAATGCGAATGTTTGGATGGATGGATATATGTTTGTAGGTATCTCCGGAACGGCTGCATGGATACCGCTGTAATTTTACATAGATGTAGAACATAGAACACGTAGGCTACTAATTATTTTATTAATGCCGCGTAGACGGAGTCGCGGGTGACAGCTAGTATTCTATAAAAGTAATAAAAATTTATATTCCTTAAAATTTCAATTACATATTATTCTCATTTAAATTTTGTTTAAACAGATGAGAAGAGCCTTGATATAGATTTGAAATTATATATCGATGAGGATTTGTCTACAGAGGAATATCCAAGTTCTTCAGATGAGGTAATGTTATGATTTCAATACAGTTACCGTGAGTTTTCATTCATCAAAAACAAAGACGCTTTCATTCTCTTTGAAAAAATAACACAAACAACAGTATATTTTTCGTTCTTCGCCAGTAGAAGCCTACGCTAAATCGAATTCCCTATTTGATTATTAAAAAGAAATATAATAATTATTATATTTTCAGGACAGTGGTGAGGAGTATCACATACAATTCTATTATGAATCCTTGTCTGTCAAGAGTTGGCTAGTATATACATTTTTTATTGGACCTTTGGCAGCAATACAAGACAGCCGCATAACAATTGAAACTTTTCCATATGGTATTGCAAAGGTAAAATATACTAAATAAATAATAATAAATAAATCTTTATTGATCTACAAAATATAACAATTTGAACCTGTGTTACAGAAGGTAGTGCCTTCTCTTAAGCTAGGTCTATAATAGGTTGGGCCGCGGAGGAGAGCGAAAGGGTGCCCGTGGCCCCGTCCCGATGCGTTGGAGGAACAGAGAGGTTTTGTGGGTATGCCTCCGATATGGAGGAGAATCCCATATGACTACCGCGTCCCCACCGGGGCGCGGAGTATGCATAAAGCATTAAGCTCTTAATGTAATAGCCATTTAAATCTACACTAAGGTGGTTTCTTCATTGACAATTTAAAGTATCTGATTGTAGCAGTTAGTGTATAATAGTTAATTTAAACGTGTGCTTAAATTTTTCAGACATATAGAAAAGGGCAGGGGTACAAATTCAAATGCGAGCACGGTCCAGAGGAATGTTACGGCAATAAGTTACACGCTTGTGTGTTACATCTATTGCAAAACAAAACTGAAGCGATATTATTCAACTTGTGTTTAATGAACAAACAATCCAATAATGCTGCAGTGGATGAGGTAAAAATTTAAATCACTCGAGTAAATGCAAGTTTAAACTGGGCAGTATCAAAAGATTTTATTATATATTTCATTATTTTAATATATTGCAGTGCGCTCAGGAGAGGTATGGGTTAGCCGGATCAATAAAAGAATGTGCAAAAAGTAGACTCGGATCAAGACTTCTTAAACATTATGGCGATGAAAGTGAAAAGGTTGATTATGAACAAGTCCCATATATCTTGGTAAACGGAGAGTCGAGTTATGTCAAAATGGCACAGACAAACAGATATATTAATAATATTAAAAAAAAATTGCTTAACTTGCGCCGCATTACCGAAGCCGTGGCGCCAAAAAATTAAATGTGAATTTTAATAAGAATAAAGGTATTTTTGTAATATGACACTGATTTTTTAATCGATCTACGTATAACTAATGTTTGGAAGAAAATCCCACACTGTGCCCATGTACTGGCACAACACTAGCCTTACAAAATGTCGACGTTTATCTCCCCTCACTAATGATTCTGACACTTGACTTTATAATGAAAGCGCGAAATTCGCGCTATAGGATTCTAATTAATAATGTCTAAAACTAATAACGATTTAGTCTAGCAACTATTTTTTTAGTAAATGATAATTTAATAATTGATTTTTTTTACAAAATAAGTAATCGTAGTTATCTTTTCTTCAACAACATCTCCCAGAAGGGTGGCATCTTTGTTAAGATAACCCGCAGGGACACGGTTATGTGGGAGTTTTACCCACTACAAGCACATGCCTAATAAACTTCTTTTTTTTTCGAATAAATGAATTTCATTATTTTTAAAACCCTCTCGGTGACCATCCTCTAGCGCCACTGGCAGGGCTACTGCATCTCCGGAGGGACGCACCCGTGCAACGGTTCGTTATGCCTTCGGCACGGTGAAACCTTACCAGTATTCTATTTCCCTGTCTGACTATTTTCTCCGGAAAACCACGTGCAAGAATCTTTTATCGAATCACATTTGTTATCAATTACAAAACTATAAACAATAATTGCAATATTGGTAATACCGGCAATGTGATAGCGACAATATTTGGTACAATATAAAGCAGATGGGATAACACTAAATTACAGTCAACATCTGTCCGTGGATGAGCAAACATCTCGCGAACAATACATAAATATAATTGTTGCAAGTCTTTTATCATATTTTATTATTTAAATATGTCTATTTATATATACTTGTTATGTTTTGTTTATCTCGGCTGTGAGTGTAGTGCGTTACCGAGTAAAAATCAACTTAGTAAGTATCTTAATATAAATATCATAATTTTCAGTGTTGTGATGAAATATGTAGCCAGTGTTGATGTCCACTATACTTCAGGAGTCTACAAAAGCATATTATCATCTCCAAATTTCATCATCCAAATCAATCACTCGATATTTTAGTGGTCACTTTTAAATCATATCTCCTTTCACACAAGCCATCGATCTGTTCTTAGTCCTGAAGATTGGACTTAGATGTAGTATCTAAGAACATAGGAGAGACCCTATTTTTACATCTTGTTTAGAATTTCTTAACAATAACTAAATCACAATTTATTATTTAGGAAGTTAACTAATTTGAACAGTGGTAGAGCCCGCGTTAACGTCTTCGCACGAATTGGTCCGGTTCGCCCGGTGAAATACCAGGAGCACACAGAAAACAGGCGTGTAGTGGAAGTAATTCCGCGTTTCGTCTGATGAGTGTGCGTCCCGGAGGCCTAATTTAGTCCTCTTTCCCTTCCCACCTTTTTTTTATAAGGAAAGGATGGGAAGTGGAAGTGGACTTTCCGGATGAGAGGATGCATAGGAAGGGTAAATATTTTCTTTCTGTGCATCCTCTCCTCCGTCGAGTAAAGGTAGGCAACGCATATGCATTTGCGTATGTCTATGGGCAACGGTTACTTCGCTATATCAGCGATTTCAGGTGGCCGCTCGCTCGTTTGCCACCTTATGATATAAAAAAATATATATAATTTGTTTCGTTACAGATAATGGTACAAATTTGGATCAAAACATTAATAGTACAACGATAAGCAATGATTTGAACACTACTATCACAGAGAAGGTAATGGTACATTCGTGTAGATATGGATCTTTTGATGGATTGTTGATAAATCAAATTATAATTTTCAGGCCGACAATGTTAAAGAAAAAGTATTGATACAGTTGTACTACGAATGCCTGTGTCCTTTCTGTACACATTTCTACACAGAAGTTTTTATACCTACAATAAGAGAAATTGGTGATTACTTGGACGTTCGGACATATCCTTATGGCAACGCTTGGGTAAAGTTTTGTCAATTACGTGTAACATATTCTCATCCATTCTATTTGATAAAATGGTCTTGACAGACAGACGGACGGACAGCAAAGTGATCCTATAAAGGTTCCGTTTTTTTTCTTTTCGAGATACGGAACCCGAAAAATATGGAGATCAATTTGTTTTCACATGTTTATGATGTTTCCTTTCTATAACTACGATATTAAATTTCAGACAAATAAGCGCAACGGATCCTACGTATTCGACTGTCAGCACGGTAGAGCGGAATGCTACGGCAACAAACTGCACGCGTGCGCCTTAGACCTGCTGCAGAACAAGACTCAAGCGCTGGTCTTCAATTCCTGTTTGATGGAGGGTAACTCAGATGATAGTGATGCAGATTATGTTAGTATTTAGTATCTCTTAACTTAATTAGCAGATAAAATTCATATCTACACTCGTGGTACTCAACAATATGGAACAATCCATATATTCGGTAGTTAGAATTGTATAATACTTATATCACCGTTTAGAGGGAATATATTTAAAACGCAGTATCATTACAAAAGCCTTCGTTGAATCTGACGCACAAGCTGCGCGTTGGCAATTTATAAATCAAAATGCATTATCCAAAAATGGTACTAATTAATTCATTTAAATTTCAGTGTGGCAAAAATCAGAATGTGGATGCTGATTCCATAAAAGAGTGCGCGAAAGGAAATAAAGGCACATTGCTTCTCAAATATTACGGCGATGAAAGCGCAAAGGGACAATACAACTACGTTCCTTATCTCGTAATCAACGGAGAACATAGGACGAGGTCTAACTTCATGTATAAAGTCTGCAAGATCTTTACTGTAACACCTCCTCCATGCGTAGAGGTACTTAAGAGTGAAGAGGACAACAAATAAACGATTTAAATAAACGAAAACTCTTTATTCATATCCCCATGTGTACTTATCTACTGTTCTATGTAATTTTAGATTTAAAAAAAAACTTTGGACGGCCGCATGGCCCTGTGTAATAAAAGCAGTATTAGATACTTCTTTCAAGATGAATTCAAAACCTGGTATATTATGGGTATTTCATGTTTACGCTTTTATCATGTAATGCAGTGATATAAACAGGTATTTTATACCTTGTTTCCAAATAATTTGTTTTTAATTTTTCTTTTCTGGTAACCCTAAAAAGTTACAGGCCCCTGTCAATGTCAAAAAAGCAATAAGATTCTTGTCGGTTGTCGGACGATAGCTTTGTCAAAGTCAAATTGATGCGATAAATATGTCAATATGATTCCTATATTTTTCCGATGTTTAATCATATATTTTTTAATTAATTTAATATGCGCGAGGCGACATAAGCATTGTAAGTATGAATTAATATATCTAGGTGGTTTTAATCAATTCAGGGATGAACTAAATAAGTAAAATAAATACATCAGTAATCTGACTACGCTTGCAGACTTTGATACAACAAATAAAATAAATGAAACTGAAGAAGCTTTAAAATTTTTAGACGGCGATGCCTTAAGCTCCCTGGAACAGGTAATCTAAAACAATTTACTAATCGTACTGAATACAGATTCAAAGTAAAAGTATGTTAAAATTATGTACATTTTTAGACGTTCCGGTCCAATGAGAGAGTAGTGATCCAAGTATTCTACGAATCTTTAAGTCCAGAATGCAAAAGTTTTCACAAACACATTTTAATGCCGGTTGTACAAAAATTAAATAATAATATAAGGGTTATGACTTATCCGTTCGGAAACGCGCAAGTATAGTATCTAATTATCAAAATGCACTGTACTGTGTTACAACTATAATTTCATGAATATAGTCCGACAAAATTGTCTAGACTTAAATGAAACTAAATTACAAAAGGTCATTAACGCCCTCTGTAACTCACTTTGGTAGCTTACGCTGTAGCTGTTATGTTTTGTCGTGTGTTTAATTTTGTACATTTAAGTAAGATTACCAAATTAACTGCCTATACTCGACACAGTACAAATATATCTTTTAAGAAATATATCTTATCAGGTTCTAAATCATCAAGGGCATATGGAGTTCAAATGCCAGCACGGTCCCGAGGAGTGTTACGGCAACAAGCTACATGCTTGTACTCTGGCTCTGATGGGTAACAGGACTCAAGCTTTGGTATTTAACACGTGTATGATGAGCCTTAAAGGTCATAGTCATGGCTCCGACGATCATTCCGCTGACTTAGTAAGTCTTCATGTACATTTTATGACGTTTTACAAGACTCAACTGATTTCAAAGTTTGAGCTTGTTACTTTTAAATGAATTTCTCTTCATAACATACATTGTCTCCAAAAGTTTCCACTTCCATTGATCAAAGTTAACAAAGCTAGGTTAAACGCAACAAGCATGTCGCAAAGTATGTAAAAGGGAAAAACGTATAACTTTCGAAAATTACATTTCAGTGTGGCAAAACATATAAAGTGGACACAGCATCGATAAAAGAGTGTGCTAAATCGAGTACAGGCGATGAACTTTTTAAATTCTTCGGCGACGAAAGTACAAAGGTGAATTATAAAAATGTGCCGTACGTCTTGATCAACGGGCGACCGTGCAAAGGCGATAACTTGATGCGCAACGTATGCGCCGCCTTCAGCAAACCTCCAGCCGTTTGCCACAAGCTGCACTGAACGTTTAGAGAGATTTATCTGTACAAATAATTATTTAATCTGAATATACAAATTATTTCTTTTTTTTTTTGTTAACAAGACTATTGTAATTAATAATCACTTAACTCTAATTTAAATTTTTTACTGAAGATTTTTAACAATTTTTTTTGAACGTAAAATTACATATTTTTAAACTCAAAAACCAATGACAAGGTACTAATTTTAACATTGAGTGTTTATTAAGAATATTTACTGCTTTACATTGAATTACATGCGATTTATTATTGTAAAAACCAATGTCATTTCGGTTATGCCTTTATGCGCATGTCAAGCGATAGAGAGAATTTAATTATGGCGTATACAGTGAATTAAATCAAATTTATTCAGTCACAGTACCTTATCAATTGCGACACAATTTATAAAAGCCTCGAACTACTTTTAGCAGTGATGTTGCGATAATAGCTCAAACATGTATTGCGGGATTAAAAATATTTATATAATTTTCTATTACTTTTATTAATATTAATGAGATGTTTATTTTTATAATCCTATTATTTCTCGGACAACAAATTGTTGGAAGTTTAGGTAAGATATGTTTATCTTATATTTTATTAATTATTATAATTTTATTAATTCATTTAGTTCTATTACTTTAAAATTATAATTATTTTCTCAGATGTGATTAAGCCATCGGAAAGTTTGCTACAGTACAATAAATTGTTGCATTTGAAGTCATATAGAAGAAGTAGTGTAAGTCGTAAAATGTCTTAATTTATTAAAAAAACAAGCTGTCGTCTGCGATTCCGTCCGCGCTGAATTTAAAGAGAAACTTAATAAGTAGCTTAAGTGTTCTTCCAGACAAACAAACATCCATACATCCATCGAAACATTTCAATTCCAATAAAAATCTATTTATGGTAATTTCCCTATAGAAGCATACAACCTGTTGAGGTATTATAAAACACCTTTATCTTTAAATCAGAAGTATGCATTTTCCAGCTAACTTCCCAGCCTTTAGAAACAGTGTATGTCGTGGTATATTATGAGAGCTTATGCGAAGATTCTAGAGACTTCTTTACCACACAACTAACCGCCGCCTACGAATTGTTAGAACCATATTTAGACGTACGTTTAATACCATATGGGAAGGCCACTACGAAAGTTGTCGACTCTGTAAGTATTCTCATTTATAGTCCAAAATTGTGGACCAGAAGTAGCATATCCAAAATGCCTTTTTCTTTTAAAATTAAATTTTAAATTTGCTAAAATGCATTGAAATTAAATAACATTTGGCAAATATTGTTGTTCACATTTCAGCCAGAATATTATACATTTAGATGTCATCATGGCCCCTTAGAATGCCATGGCAATAAGTTGCATGCTTGCGCTCTAAATATTTTTCCGTCGGAAAAAAATGCACTTGTATTTAACTCATGTCTAATGGATTACGATCATACTGGCCAAGGCTCGGACGATATAGCCGCGGATAAGGTAAAAAAACAACATTAATCTCGTAGTTTTTGTATTTTTACATCAAAATACTTTTAACGATAAAGATTACTACTTGATCATGTTAAATGTCTTACTTTTATTTCTAGAAACATTCAAGTCTATCTATAAAGTAAAGTTTACCATTTTTCTACGCCCACTATTAGTTGTTTAGTTAGATAAAGCATTTTTTTACGCTTTTAATCAGTAAATTGTATAAATTTAATAATAAACAATTGTAACGACGTTTGCAGTGTGGCAGAGCGTTAGCATTAAACGTCAAATCAATCAAACAATGTGCGAGCAACGATACAGGGACTTTCTTGCATAATTATTACGGACAGCGGACGAGGATGACGAAATTTTCATACGTACCACATATCCTGATCAATGGAGTACGAAGTAATGGGACCAACTTGATAGCTGACATTTGCGCTATCCTCAAATCACCTCCCACTGGCTGTAAGATATTCAAACCCTAAATTTCAACTATCATTTAACAAGAATTATAAGGTCATTGTTGTTATCTTTGTTTGTTTCATAATGAAGGAAAGTGATGGCAATAGTTTTGTATTGTGTTACGACACAACTCACCGAAAATAAAGTGTATAATCTATACAACATTCAAAATTACTGTACAAAAATGTCGCTACTAATTCGATGACAACAATTGTAAAAAAAAATTACAACTAAATAAACTTAGGTACATTGTTTTTGTTTTTAATAATTTGATTCATGATGTATTATCCTGCGAGATAAAAGCATTGCTACTTATGCGCCTGCAAATTTATAGACACGTTCACAAGACGGGGCAGACATAAAAGCACTTGTGAACCAGGCGCTTTATCCCGGTAGTGGCAAGCTTGCAAGCCATGCGGATTCTATTAATTTGTAGCTCTATTACAAAAAAAAACCTTCTGCCATTTTTGAGTAAGGAACTATCGTTTGTACATTTGATATAAATATTTTTTTCATATTTGATTTACGCATAAATCTCAAGAAGTTTGAATTTCCTATTTATAACATAAATTATCAGCAAACACGCACTGCCTTCTGGCAATGCAACAAAAATAAGTTGTTTTTGTTGCATTGTTCTTTTTGATACAGGTTTTGATTTTTTGCTTTGTCAATCAATATGTTTCTATACATGCACATTTCAATTGCAAATAATTGCCGCTATAACATTATAAGGGGTCTTTATCGAGATTACATTAAAAAGTCTACACCTTTAGTTATATTTCAAATATTCATCCACATATGCCATGGGATAAACTTAACAATTAATGCCCTCGTTTCCTTACACACAAAATTAAATTTTATTGCAACATCAGAAGAAATTTCAAGATTAACATGAACAGAATTAAAACGGAACACGTTATAGTGATTCATAATGTAAACATTTCAAATATTCATTTCTTATGACTAAGAGACCAGTACGTTCATGGTCGTAAATTATTACGACTGTTTTAAAGAAGAAACAATAAATTTTTAAAGCCCACTGCTACGAGTGCGCGTTAGTACCTGGAAACATGCAATAATGGACCTATTCTTTTAGAGTGGACTTCATAGTGTTGAATAATAAACAACGCGCTAGTTTCGAAGCATTTTTTTCAACCATACCACGTGGAGTATAAACAGATATCGACAAGTTAATAATAATAAAGACATATATGATAATTTTGGCGTCCAGATATTGTAAGGTATAGACTAGACTGCTAACTTCGGTTTAATTATTAAGTTCCGCTGGCTCCCTCTGGAATCAAACTAATTAATTCTCGGAACATAGCTCGAACAATGTTACAAATACTCAAAGGGCCAATTATTTCAACTACAGTCTTAGCGGGGCGGGCGCTAACAACTTAAATGCCATTTTTACAATTACATAGACACACGGGACAGCCGGCGGACTATTAACAGAAATAAAACAGTTCATTGCGCGGTACTTTGCCATTCTTTCTTCGCACAGAAGTTTTGTTTTGTGGCAGTGAACTTTTACGGTATTTTAATAAGAGTGCAATTATACTGTTAGGACAATACACTATGATTTCGTGACAACAAATAAATACAGTTTATTAAATAATTAAGTAACAAATAGCACACAAACAATAAGGAAAAATAAATTCTATCATTATTATTGTACATGTGACTAAAATAAATGGTGACTGACGTCAAAAATTGTATATTTTTAGATATTTAGAGCCTTAGACTTGTTAGCCAAAATACCTATAAACATCAACAAAAGCCTAAGAAACTCATTTCGGAAAAGAGGACAATTTTAAACACACTGTCTGCTGCCAGTAACATAAATACAATATATTAAATTAACATTAGCTAGTGCAATGTATAATTAATAAAAGAAAAAAACGGCAATATTTCCACAACCGTCGTAGTGAGTGCTCCGCGTTTTTTATTCAACTCCACGCATACATTATTTTCATAGAAAGTGCATCATAGTTGCATACCTTCTGAATACGTTTCCGTAGTTAGCACTATTCCATGCGGATACATTAATATTTTTTATACGGGCTTTGACAAACATCGTATATTAATTAAAATGGTAATAGAAATAGTACTAGCATATATCGCATTTGTTTGTAATTTAGCCAGCAAGGAGTCTTATTAGAGTAAATTCTATATGTAAAATTGACTAGACAATATAACCGTGGGTTTCTGATACCAAAATCTCTGTATCATCCCTGTCGTTATCTTTGACAAAACAGATATAAACACATGTTTTAAACGAGGGTCTTGGTGTCAGAAACCCACGGCAAATGACTCGCAAACTGACCATTAAATAAACTGAAAGAGATGAGATGAGAACTTTATCACGAATTTATCATAAATAGACACACTGTCGAAATCTCCTATCCTAAATGGTAGGAAATTAAATAAGGTAATAGGTAATAACCTACAGTATGATTACATGAACTTTCTAGAATTGATATTATCAAAGTTAAGAGATTATAATTTCTCTCAATGCGATGAATGAACTTAGGGCTAAATATTTAGGGTTCAAGCTAAGGATGCTTGAATAACGGAGGGTCGTCACCCTCTCCCACATGCTCAAGTTTATTTCTTACAGGCAGCCGTGCATTCGCTGATCACAAAAACCCTGCATCCATTTTACCCAAGTCGTTTTTATTTTAGCCCATACATCTTAATAATAAAACAAAAGAATGTGATTTGATTCTTTAGCGAGTATGTAATAAAAGCTATAACATTTTTCCTTAATAACATGACTAATGTAATATTTTGTCTTTTATCGTATCGTTAAATATCTATGTAACAGACAAGCGATGTATAAATAACATGTAAGAATACGAAGCCGCTATGAATATATTGTACTGAAACATCACTGCCGACAAGATTTCCATTCTTGTTCACTGAACTAAAACTAATATTTTGTTGGATACTTGATATAAACAGTTCTGAAGTAGCATTTGTCACTCACTCCCATACAAATATAAATACCATTCAAACTTACTTATCTCTTCGTAACTCCTTTGTTTTCATTAATTGTATTTGTATATTTGAACAATTGTTAATTACTTCTAGAAACTCATGATTGATGTTAAGGAAATACTTACGAGGAAAATATTAATTAATATAATGTATAGGAAACACTAAGTTTTTGTTGTGTCCGATGCAGTGAGCCCCGATGTGACGGCTCATTAGTCACGTCGGTCGGACACCTTGACAACCCGGTAGAAATTCGAACCGGCCACCGCAAAAACTATACGTGTTTACCTACTAGATGAACTATGTACTAACGTAAATATAAAAGGAACTTTGGACTTATAATTTAATACCTATATGTTTTATATTTGTTCTTAGGAGACGTAATATATGATCTTATATATAGACAAAATAATGACCTCCGGAGGCCTTTTGTTGGGATAAATTCCCTCAGTGTTATCATTTACGATACAGATTAACATTTGGAAAATCAACTCTCGATTATACGTCAAACTTGTACAAAACGCTCCATCTAGGTTATAGGTCTATGGTCTATCTATGTATATCTAGGTTGTAACATAGCTGGCAACAGTCTTATTCATATCAGGTTAATAGTCTACCTTTTTTTTTAAAACTTCAAACCGGTAGCAACATATAATAGAATTTTACCGAGTTGCGTTGCCTAGTAAGATTGAAAATTTTAACCTCAAATATGTGATCACCGATCTCCTTAATGAATCATGACCATCAGTAATAATTACCGACCTTCGAAAGAAGATGCCAGTTTAAGAAGAATCAAGGATCTATTTAATTGTGTATAAATGTCTAGGATTATATTTGTTATAGATAAACTGAAGCGAGCATTTTGTTTGTAACCGACATAACCGATAATAGATACATCAAACCACATAACCGCAACTCTGCTTCGATCATGTTATGTACGTGAAGCTCGTTATATTATGTATTGAATATCTAAATCAATATCCACTCTGATATATGACACAATTCAATTTAGTATTTAAAGCAAATTTTCTGATAAAATTAAGTTACAAATAAGTAATAAACATAAAACTGAAACATGTAGACTAGTAACTGCTATTATAGTTTTTTATCTCTGTTTTAACTATGCGAAAATATAAATTCTTTCTTTATTTTCTAAGCAAACAAAATAATATTAAATATGTATGTACATTAAATTGAAGATTATAGGATCACGAAGCGCGACAAGGCCAGTGATTTTAACATTGTTATGTAAATGATGGTGTTTACGTCCATGGCACCGACCAACGGACAACGGGCAGCGGGCAGTGGGCACTTCATCTGTCCGCTAATGTACCGCCACCACAAGGTCACGACGTGCCTGTTCATTTTCCTATAATATAAGAATACATAAATGTATTTCAAACGCTAAATAAAAAACCATTCAGAATAAACAGTGATGTGCCTATTAATGTTTTTGTTATTAAATTTGAACAATTGTCTCGTTCGACTCAGGTCAGTCACTTGGCCATCTTGTTTCCCATGCCTAAAATAAGGAATAATAAAAAAACAGTTCACTGAAATGTAACTTGTGTTATGCACAAAGAAGTTTATTTGAACTAAAATTCTTGGAACGGTCCACGACAAAATTCCATTGCGATCTAAAACAAAAAACTTTTACTCTCTTTTGTTATGAGAGGGTGAGCCCGAAACCCGCAGCCCCCGCAGTCGCTGGGAACCGAGTCCCGCACCCGAGCAGTCTTCGTGTCGCCGCAATGTACTATGAAGGTTATAACAACTCTAGTTTTACACGAACTCGTACACCCTTCTTGTCTAACTCTATAGGTATAAAAGGGACAAGCATGTCGCGCTAGCACGGCACCAACACGCTCCGGCCGCGGCCGTCCACTTGGCAGCACGCCCAGTGACGCGTGCCAGGCGGCCACGTGCAGCCAGACAAGTAATGAGTTTACAGCATAAAAGCGGCAATTTGATACCTCTCATATTGACAGTCCCGTTTGGCAAATTATTTCATAACTGCAACAAGAACAACCAAAGATTATCCAGACAAATAGGAAAATCAATATGAGGAAAACTTAAAACTGATACTTCTTTACGCTTACAGACTTTGAAAATGGTTAGTTAGAACAATCCTCGTTATTTAGAATTAGCTAGACCAACCAATCTCTTGATATTTATGCTTTGAATGTATGTATGACGTATGGTTGATGTATCAGTTCAACGTATCTTTAATATGCATGA